GCATCAGCAACACCTGCGGTACTAGCAGCAGCATCAACAATACCAGCAGCACAACCACCACCACCAATTCCACCAGCACCAGTAGCACCAGCAGCATCAGCAGTACCAGCAGCACCACCAGCAGCACCAGCACCAGCAGCACCAGCAGCACCAGCAGCACCAGCAGCACCAGCAGCACCAGCAGCACCAGCAGCACCAGCAGCACCAGCAGCACCAGCAGCACCAGCAGCACCAGCAGCACCAGCAGCACCAGCAGCACCAGCAGCACCAGCAGCACCAGCAGCACCAGCAGCACCAGCAGCACCAGCAGCACCAGCAGCACCAGCAGCACCAGCAGCACCAGCAGCACCAGCAGCACCAGCAGCACCAGCAGCACCAGCAGCACCAGCAGCACCAGCAACACCAGCAGCATCAGCAACACCTGCGGTACTAGCAGCAGCATCAACAATACCAGCAGCACAACCACCACCACCAATTCCACCAGCACCAGTAGCACCAGGAGCACTAGGAATACCAGCAGGATCACCAGCAGCAACACCAGCAGTAACAGCTACACCAGCAGCACCAATTGCGGCACCTGCACCACCAGCACCAACACCACCACCATCACCACCATCACTACTAGCACCATCTCCAACAGCACCAGCAACAGCACCAGCAACACCAGCATCATCAGCAGCACCTGCGGCACTAGCAGCTGCATCAGCAATACCAGCAGCACAACCACCACCACCAATTCCACCAGCACCAGTAGCACCAGGAGCACTAGGAATACCAACAGCATTACTAGCAGCACCAGCAACACCTGCGGCACCACTAGCAGCAGCACCACCACCACAACCAATACCACCAGCACCAGTTGCACCAGTAGCACCAGCAGCACCAACAGCACTAACGTCACCACCACCACCACCACCAGCAGCAGCATCATCACCACCACCAATAGCACCATCACCAGTAGCACCAGCAGCACCAGCAATACCAGCAGCAGCACCAGCAACACCTGCGGCACCACTGGCAGCACCAGCAGCATCAGCAGTACCAGCAGCACTACCAGCAGCACTTGCAACACTAGCAGCACCAGCGTCACCACCACCACCAGCACCAGCAGCAGCAGCAGCACCACGACCAATACCACCAGCACCATCACCACCAGCAGCAGCACCTGAAATACCAGCATCACCAGCAGCAACACCAGCTACACCAGCAGCACCAATTGCGACACCTGCCACACCAGCACCAACAGTACCACCATCACCACCATCACCACTAGCACCATCTCCAGCAGCACCAGCAACAGCACCAGCAACATCAGCAGCATCAGCAGCACCTGCTGCACTAGAAGCAGCATCAGCAATACCAGCAGCACAACCACCACCACCAATTCCACCAGCACCAGTAGCACCAGGAGCACTAGGAATACCAGCAGCATTACGAGCAGCACCAGCAACACCTGCGGCACCACTAGCAGGACCAGTAGCAGCAGCACCACCACCACCAATACCATCAGCACCAGTAGCACCAGGAGCACTAGGAATACCAGCAGCATTACGAGCAGCACCAGCAACACCTGCGGCACCACTAGCAGGACCAGTAGCAGCAGCACCACCACAACCACCAATACCACCAGTACCAGTTGCACCAGTAGCACCAGCAGCATCAGCAGCACCAGCAGCACCAACAGCACTAACGTCACCACCACTACCAGCAGCAGCAGCAGCAGCATCACCACCACCAATAGCACCATCACCAGTAGCACCAGCAGCACCAGCAACACCTGCGGCACCACTGGCAGCACCAGTAGCAGCAGCATCACCCCGACCACCACCACCAGCACCAGTAGCACCAGCAGCATCAGCAGTACCAGCAGCACCACCAGCAGCACCTGCAACACTAGCAGCACCAACGTCACCACCACCACCAGCACCAGCAGCAGCACCACCACCGCCACCACCACCACCAATAGCAGCAATTGCACTGACAGCAGCAGGAGCAGCTGCATCACCCTCACCACCACCACCAGCACCAGCAGCAGCAGAATCACCAGCAGCACCAACAACACCTGCGGCGCCACTAGCAGCACCAGTAGCAGCAGCACCACCACCACCACCGGCACCAATAGCAGCAGCAGCATCAGCAGTACCAGCAGCACCACCAGCAGCACCTGCAACACTAGCAGCACCAGCGTCCCCACCACCACCAGCACCAGCAGCAGCACCACCACCGCCACCACCACCACCAATAGCAGCAATTGCACTGACAGCAGCAGGAGCAGCTGCATCACCCTCACCACCACCACCAGCACCAGCAGCAGCAGAATCACCAGCAGCACCAACAACACCTGCGGCGCCACTAGCAGCACCAGTAGCAGCAGCACCACCACCACCACCGGCACCAATAGCAGCAGCAGCATCAGCAGTACCAGCAGCACCACCAGCAGCACCTGCAACACTAGCAGCACCAGCGTCCCCACCACCACCAGCACCAGTAGCACCAGCAGCACCAACAATACCAGCACATCACCAGCAGCACCAGCAACACCTGTGGCACCAGCAGCAGCACCTGAAACACCACATCACCAGCAGCAGCAGCAGCAGTACCAGCAGCATCAGCAGCACCTGCGGCACTAGCAGCAGCACCAGCAGCAGCAGCAGCAGCACCTGCAACACCAGCAGCACCAACGCCACCACCACCACCACCACCAGCAGCAGCAGCAGCAGCACCACCACCACCAATACCATCAGCACCAGTAGCACCAGCAGCACCAGCAGCACCAGCAGCACCTTCAACACTAGCAGCACCAGCGTCACCACCACCACCAGCACCAGCACCACCAGCAGCAGCACCACCACCACCACCACCAGCAGCAGCAGCAGCAGCAGCAGCAGCAGCAGCAGCAGCAGCAGCAGCAGCAGCAGCAGCAGCAGCAGCAGCAGCAGCACCAGCAACACCAGCAGCACCAATTGCGGCACCAGCACCACCAGCACCAACAGCACCACCATCACCACCACCACCACCACCACCAACACCAGTAGCACCAGCAGCATCAGCAGTACCAGCAGCACTACCAGCAGCACTTGCAACACTAGCAGCACCAGCGTCACCACCACCACCAGCACCAGCAGCAGCAGCAGCACTACCACCAATACCATCAGCACCAGCACCACCAGCAGCAGCACCTGAAACACCAGCAGTACCAGCTACACCAACAGCACCAATTGCAGCACCAGCACCACCAACACCAACAGCACCACCATCACCACCATCACCACTAGCACCATCTCCAGCAGCACCAGCAACAGCACCAGCAACACCAGCAGCATCAGCAGCACCTGCGGCACTAGCAGCAGCATCAGCAATGCCAGCAGCATTACCAACAGCACCAGCAACACTTGCGGCACCACTGGCAGCACCAGTAGCAGCAGCATCACCACCACCACCACCACCAGCACCAGTAGCACCAGCAGCATCAGCAGTACCAGCAGCACTACCAGCAGCACCTGCAACACTACAAGCACCAACGTCACCTCCACCAGCAGCAGCACCACCACCACCACCAATAACACCAGCACCAGTAGCACCAGCAGCATCAGCAGTACCAGCAGCACTACCAGCAGCACCTGCAACACTACAAGCACCAACGTCACCTCCACCAGCAGCAGCACCACCACCACCACCAATAACACCAGCACCAGTAGCACCAGCAGCATCAGCAATACCAGCAGCACCACCAGCAGCACCTGCAACACTAGCAGCACCAGCGTCACCACCACCACCAGCACCAGCAGCAGCATCAGCAGCACCACCACTACCACCACCAGCAGCAGCAGCAAGGGCAGCACCAGCAACACCAGCAGCACCAACGTCACCACCACCAGCAGCAGCAGCACCACCACCACCACTACCAGCACCAGTAGCACCAGCAGCATCAGCAGTACCAGCAGCACCATTAGTAGCACCTGCAACACCAGCAGCACCAACGTCACCACCACCACCAACACCAGTAGCACCACCACCACCACCAATTCCACCAGCACCAGTAGCACCAGGAGCACCAGAAATACCAGCAGCATTACTAGCAGCACCAGCAACACCTGCGGCACCACTAGCAGCACCAGCAGCAGCAGCACCACCACCACCAATACCACCAGCACCAGTAGCACCAGCAGTACCAGCAAGACCGGCAGCATCACCAGCAGCACTAGCAGCACCAGCACCACCAGCAGCTGCACCTGAAACACCAGCATCACCAGCAGTAGCACCTGAAACACCTGTACCACCAGCAGCAGCACCAGCAGTACCAGCTACACCAGCAGCACCAATTGCGGCACTAGCACCACCAGCACCAACAGCACCACCATCACCACTAGCGCCACCACCAGCAGCAGCAGCACGAGCAGCACCAGTAACATCAGCAGCACCAGCAGCACCTGCAGTACCACCAGCAGTACCAGCACCAACGGCACCACCATTACCACTAGCACCATCACCAGCAGCACCAGCAACAGCACCTGCAACACCAGCAGCACCAGGAGCAGCAGCAGCAGCAGCACCAACACCACCACCACCACCACCACCACCAGCAACAGCACCACCAGTACCACCAGCAGCACCAGCGGCTCCAGCAGCACCACCACAAGAGAGAGTATATAATATATATATAAAGTTTATAAAGTATATAAATAGGTATATGTAAACCTTTGCTACAATTAGGCTTATACATATGTAATAAACTATTTAATAGAGAGAGAGAGGAAGAGATTATTTTATGTATGTATAGTAATCAATTATTACTTTACATATATATAGCAATTTCTCTCTCTTTTTCTTAATTAATTTATTACATATCTAAATCTAATTGTAGCAAAGGTTTCCGTATGTCAAATGTAGTTCAGATATGTAAGAGAGAGTACATAATATATATAAAGTTTATAAAGTATATAAATATGTATAGACTATATATATATATATATATATATATATATATATATATATATATAAAATACATTGTTATATATTTGTTATACTATAAATAAAACATTTTTTTAATAACAATTGTGCTAGTTATTTGCCTTTGTTTCTTAGTGTTTCGTGTATGTCTATCCTTATTTACTCTACTGAAAAAATTCAATTGAGATTTTAATGAAATTCTTATATTTATAAAATAATTGGATATACTCTCTTTCTGTTTTTTACATAAATATACTTGCTTGCGGAACAGTAATTTACTGATTACTGATATTCATGGTAATTATTAAAAATAATAAGATTAAGATATGATTAATATATTTGATAGTAAGTAATACATCTTCTGTGTAATTATAAAATATTTAGATATTCTGTTGTTTAGATAAATATATTTATTTGCAGAACACATGTATACTTACTTGCAGAACAGAGCACATACATATTTTTCAACAAAATTTGCAACACTATCCACTCTACCTGCACACGAATGTTCTGTCATTGTTAATATTAATATTAAATCAAGAAATATTATGCATCAATCAATGGGTGCTTTCCAATTGCTTAATACATCTTGACACACACTTAATACATCTTGACAAAAACAGTTTATTGGTCACATATTACTAAATTGTAAGATATTATGCAACCAATAAACTGATTTGTGTAACACTGAATTGTGTATGTAATTGGAAAGCATCTAATATAATCAACAAGAAACACAATATGTAAACAGACATAATCTGATTAGATCAGCAGACTCTATCGATAGAAGACGGGCTGCAATTAAATAATAACTTAATAATTAGTTAAACATACTTTGATAGTAAAATCTTCTTCTTTTGTTTCTTTTTGTCTTTTTTCTTCATATTTTGTATTATAACATTTTTCTTTTAAAAACATATCTTGTCAATAAGTTATTATGCTTTTTCTCTCTGTCTCTCACTCATGCTGTCACTCTCACGTACCATTCTCTCTCTCTCTCTTTCTCTCTCTCTCTCTCTCTCTCTCTCTC